AATGCACGACGAGGGTGCATCAATGCTCAAATTTGCGTTGTTTTGGTGAAAATGCGCTTTATTTGAGTACATTTATCACTCAGATCTGCGCCTAGAATGTTCTTGATTTACCATGTACTTGTTCTGACGAGAAAATGGTCCAAGAAACTTCTTTCTTGATTTGAGAAAATGTTCTTGCTGCAGCCTAGACCATAAATGGGCTTGCTTTGAGTATCAAGTTAGATCAATTCTAGCAAGATGGACTTGTAAAGAAGTAATGCACATGCCTTCTGAAGGCACACCACCGCATCTCCCCTCCACTCAGTTGTCACGGTAGCTCAAGTACTTGAGTTTTCCATATTCTTAATTATTTATTCTATTATTTTTATATCACTGTTAAATCGAATTATATTGATGTTTTCAAAAAAAAAAGTTGGATTCGTGCCTGGAGGCTGGATGGTAAGCCGGGTTCGGCAGGGGTTCAACTCCCGGCGAGGCGTAACCAGTTTTCCCTCGCACAATCCTTTGGGGGTTGTCAGGGGAATGGACTGCGGGTATCAAATGCCAGCGGGAAAGACAGATCGCTGAGGAGACAATTTTACATTTTTAATCCGGTATCATAAAAGACTTTGACATACAACAAGTTTTGGCCAGCTTTGAAGCTAAGTTTGGCAACGGTCGGTTCACGCCCGTTTGCCTGCTAGGTGTACGAGAGAGGTGGGGTTTGAACCCCTAACCTTCCGTGCGGCCTCGCACTGCGCTGCCAACTGCGCCACGAGAAGATTGTGCAGGCAGCGTGCTGGCTGTGCGTTGAGTTGTTCGGCCGGGTTCGACCGGTGCTGGGCTGACTTGGAGCGGATTGGGATCGTGGCGCGCACAGCTGTGTCCGGAATGACCGGTAGCCGAGAGGCTAAGGAAGTCGACCGGTGGCCGCGAAGCACCGGTTCGAATACCAGGATGTCCCTGCGGTGCACTTACATTTTAAAATGTCGGAACGCTGCGCAACACCTTTCTATAATGTACTGATACTGAAATTATGGTCTTGATTTGCCGACAGAATCAAGACCAATCGAGCCTTACGTTGAGAACAGAAATCAAGTACAACAATCAAGTCCGGGGCTGGGCTCAATTCTAGAACAGATTTCCCTGGGTGTAGAGTGTCTGTGACGACTGTTAGAAGTTTCCGTCACTTTCGGTCATGTTTTGCCTTTTTAACAAGGGGTGCCGATAACTGTCATATAGGATGCCGATAACTGTAATTTGGCTGCCGATAACTGTGTTTTTGGTAACCGTTTTCTCAGGTTAAATAAGAGCGACACAAAAAGTTTTTCATGAAATCTTAGTCAGTCACTTCGCTGCCAAGATCCTTCTGAGGTGTCTGGAACAAGTCGCGCGGGTCCAAATGTCATAACCTACACTGAGACAAGGTGGTGCCCTGAAACTGACCGACTAAGTCGCCCGCCCCAGTTTTTAGGGCGACTTGAGTCGCTGAGTCGCCTACTTTCTGGGCGACACAGTCGCCTAGTTTTAGGGCATCTTGGTCGTAAATACAGAGCTTACTTATCAATGCTGGCCCAAGGCGCCCACAACCTGAGCACCTTTGGGGTTGGTCCGACCGCTGCTGCCCAGATTCAGGGCATCTCTTACGCCACCCAAATGTGAAATCCATTGAGTTTATCCATGATGAGGCAAACTTGTGTGCAATGCGTTGGGCCAGTAAAGATTAGTAAGGTCAGTCTTTACATGACCAAGATGCCAAAACTGGGCGACTGTGTCGCCCAGAAACTAGGCAACTGTGTCGCCCAGAAAGTAGGCGACTCAAGTCGCCCTAAAAACTGGGGCGGGCGACTTAGTCGGTCAGTTTCAGGGCACCACCTTGTCTCAGTGTACCCTAGAGGCCCTCGAAAAGAAAGCGATGCTCTTAAACTGACGGTGACTGTATACTTTACCCTACGGGACGGGCGGAAGTTGGGCCGGGATGGCATCGCCATTTTCCTGTTATTTTGAAGCGAGCCACTTCTGCTTGGACAAAGGGCAAAGGCACCATTGTTCCAATTCTGTGAAAACGAATCTTCTCAATGCTTTGACTTTTTATTTCGGAAGTCCCCGTTTTTGTTGTGATTTCTAGTAAACGAATTTGAAACTCTACAGGAACGACTGCAGCACAATCACTTAACGCGTCTCGTTCAAGAGGTGTATTTCATCTTCGGTGTCTCATTGGCTTGCCTCCTTACCTTCAGATCAATGGTGGAAATATGTCAAGTGTATGAGGCCGGTCCGTTTTTAACGGTGTTGATTAGTGATCCTGGCTACTGGATTCAACGTAAAGGCATATTACTGTTCTCCTTCGCTTATGTGGATGTTGCGGCAACTGGAGGTAGACTTATCGCACTGGTGATTCTGCTGGCTGAAGTCATGCATCTACAGCGAAACGTGAGTACAGTACAGAAAAGTTTCTATGCGCCTTCACTGTCCACTGCCGTCAGTCTACTCAAACAATTAACAAAACAAGGGAAGTTGGGCACCTTACGCTTACGCACCGTTATTTTTATTCAATTTTTTGCATTGTTCCTTATGTTTTTGAGGCCGCTGGTCACAAAACCTCATCTATTTTCACCCCAGACTGGGGTTCAAATGCCGTAAGGGTTCAACAAAAATGAAATTCACTAATTTGCAAATGAACGGGATGGGTTAAAGTTGTCGATGTGTATCGCTACTTTCCTGATATTGAATTGAAGTTTTTGCATTGTTCCTTCTGTATGTGAGGGCGCTGATGATGAAAATAACATATTTCTTAACCCGACTCAGGTTCAAATCCCATTAGGTCTAAACATACGTGAATCGCGGATTTCGAAATGTACGGGACAGGCCGAAATTGCCAATGTGTATCGCTTTCTCCTGTTATTTCCACGTTTCGGAGGACGCCAATTGGGTTTATCCAGACCGAGAACCGTTACCTCGTTATCCTCAAGGCGCACAGTGGGACGAAACGCGAAAAAGGCAGCGATAATTATAGGAGGCGCCGACTGCGTCAAAGATCTCTCCTCTAGAGTTTTCAAGGTTGAGGAACTCATTTCGGATAAAATCAAGACAAAAAGCCAAACTCCAGGGGCTCAACAAGCCTTCAGGTCTGGATAGAACCGTTCATTTTACCCCGATTGCGGCAAAAAAAATTTCCGGAATTTTAAGGTTGAGAAACTTATTTCTGATAAAATCAAAAACAAAATTTAAACCCTTGGGCTGGGACTAGCTTTCACGTAAGGGTAAAACCGTATTTTTGTTGACCATTTTGTTTCAGTTTATGGTTTATGACCTAATTTTTGGCCCGTTCCGTTTATTTTTTGTAAAAAAAAAAATAACGAAGGGACGGGCATATAGTATGACCGCTTTCGCTCGCGGGGGGGTTCGCCCCCAGACCCCCCGTGCGTGCCTCCGGCCCGCTGAGTCTGGTCTGTGTAGCAATAGTAGCATTTGGATGGAATTTCTTTCAATCCCTGGGTGAGGCGCCCATGGGCGATCCATGGGCGGTCCATGGGAAATTGAAAGCGGATATCTATGGACATCCATGGAGGGCCCCATGGGGGGTCCACACTGGCTGCATATTGCTCGGGCAAAGTCCTCCCACTATAAGCAGTCTTTCCAAGTCAGAATAACATGGGGGCTCTACATGAATTTTTCGCGCTTCCTCAATTCTAAATTCAGTTTTTGTTTGGGAAAAGGGTTTCAAAAGTTAAAGGGTTTTGTGAAAATACTGGAGCTTAGATGCACGAGGAAGCCATTGTCAATTGGCCGTCCATGACCGTTGAGGATGACCTTTGGTTGTCCTTTTGTAATGAGACCCATGGGCCAACCATGGATTGTCCATGGCCTGCCCACGGATCGACCATGGTCCCCCCTTCACGCCCATAGGCACCAAGGATTCACCATGGGTGTCTAAGGTTGCAGTATGGCGGACCATTGGCCCCCATGGGCGCCTCACCCAGGGATGAGTGTAAAGTAGTAGCGAAGACTGTGTTGATTTAAACTTAGGAGTAGTATTCTATTTTACATGTAGATTTAATGATGTAAAGAGCCCTTTATAAAGAGGTCAGCTGGGTCAAAGTACGGTCCTGGAACGAAGTTTACCTACAGGGTGCCAACCCCGGGAAAAAAATGGGTCAAAATAAGAGTAACATAAGTCAGCGTATAAATTTTTCATGAAACCCTTTCCCAAGAATGTTTTTTTTAGCGTTATGAGCATGTCTGGAATGAAGGTAACCAGGATTCTACATCCCATACATTGTTGTCATCGTGAAAATTTTGGTCGGTGTAAATAAAACGTATACTGTTGTGGTTAAGCCTAACATTTTGAAGATATAAATGTGGTCTGATGTGGGCCATGGATATTGGGGATGCACTTGAATTATTTTTGGCTGCTAATGCTTGCGTGTATCGATAGCTAGCTTACAGTTATCCCCAGGGACCCTTGAAAATGTTGCAGTGATGGACAGTCATGGACTTCGACTTAGGACCGTTGTTGAGTATGCCTTGCTGTTCGCCGCCCTCACAGAAGCAGAAGACAAGTTCTTCCATGAACGCGTTGCCCGGTTCCACCACGAGGAGGTAGCATAGGACTTTTGGAACCATATTTACACTTTTTACAAATTTCATTGAAGTTGAACTCCATTATATACAAAAAAGGTAGTAGGCTTAAGCTAAGAAGGCTTCAGAAAGCACAGCATACTATGTTGTGTAGATGTGTATCTGTGGGTCGAAAGGAAGAGGTGCGTGCTCCACTGAATTAGTAGTGGGTAGATAAGAGGTGAGAAAATTACGCTCATGTGCCATATGAGTTATTCGTGGGCTATGTCCTATGCATGCACTTAAAGTAATATATATGTACATATTCAGCATTTACGAATAAGTGTTAGGATTCCTACTTAAAATGAGTTTTTTTGAGTGTTTTGCTTATAAGCAAAATATGTATGTACAAATACACCTATAAGCTGTACGCTACTATATTTACAATAACTAATGTAAGCCTAATTAAGAAGGTCGCGGTACACCACATTCTTAGTATGCACTGTACCGTGGAGCACTCTGGCTGGAGGGACCAATAGCTTGATATTTTCCCTAGAGCGAACTCTACTCAGAGCTACATAGAGTTGTCCGTGAGTGAAGCATTCTGTCCGTAAGTCTACTCCAACTAAGTCGATGGTCTGCCCCTGGCTTTTATGAACACTCATTCCATACGCCAACTGCAAGGGAAACTGACGCCTCACCACCGTGAGAGGTGATCCAGGCAACATAGGGAACTTAAAGGTAATGCGTGGAATGCCAAACGATTCACTGGAGGTAGCCTTCCGGACTCTGACAAGATTAGGGCTGATAGACTGAACTATTACCTTCGTACCATTTACAAGCCCCTGGTCAACGTTGAGGTTCCTCGTTATAAGGCAGACAGCTCCAACTTTCAGCCTTAGCTTGTGTGGTGGGACTCCTTTTGCAGAAGCTTGGTTTAAAAGATCCACGTCAGCTTCGAGAGGGTCATCAGTTTCCTTTTCAGTTGAGTCGTAACTCAGCATTTCGTGTATCGGTCCAATAAGCATGTCCAAAACAATGTTGTTTATTTCGGATACATTAACATTGAGTGGTGCCAAAATAGCCCTTTTGGCACACTCATCGGGTTGGGACAAAATGTGCTCTGGATATATCATGTCAATTAGTGCTTTTGAGTCTGTGACAGAACCAATGCCAGGTAAAGCAACAAGATCTTCTCGTTTGTCATTAGCAGTTGTAAAGGGGACTTCTGGTGCGGTGCCATTACCGATATCTAACAGAAACTTTGAATAGTCAGGATCATTGCGTGTCCGTTGAGGCGTTTTTAAAGAAAATATTTTCATACGGCCCCACAGACAAGAACTCTTGATAGATGCATCGATCACGTCATTTGGCGTTCGGGCTGATTCAACCACAGGTGGTGTTTGCCTAAAATCCCCTGAACACAACAAAATTTTGCCGCCAAAGGGGTGGTCATTTCCCATGAGATCTTTAAGCGATCGGTCAAGCAGTTCTAAAATGTGTTTGTGCATCATAGGTGCCTCGTCAAACATTATAAGCGATGACGCTCTGATCAGTTCCGCCCTCTGGCTGCCGTTGGTAAGGTTCCATGTGGCCGTCCCGTCTTTTAGATCAAGGGGAAGCCGGAACATGTTATGTGCCGTCGTTCCACCGTCCATATTCAGAGCAGCAATACCTGAAGATGCAACGCACAACACTACTTTGCCCCGTGCCCTAAGATAAGATGTTATTACCTTGAGCACGGCTGTTTTTCCATAACCCCCCGGTGCAGAAAGAAATATGGATCTGGGGTTGTTTGGAGTTGATGCTTGCTGTTCTGACAAGAGTTTAATGTATTCAAACAGAGCTCGCTGTTCAGGGTCTAGCTGAGGCAGCCATTCATCAACAAACCTCTGCTGATTCTCTGCACTGTAGTTTAGCAGTTCTCGGCCGAGCTCAGTTGTATCATCCTGCACGTCCGGCAGACCGTGGTCGGTAAGTTTAAAGCCATTGCGTCTGAGACATCTGTCTATTTGTATAAGTCCTAATTTGTAAGCCTTTTCATAGTCGTCAGGATGCCTCTCAATAAAGTCTTCACAGATTTTGTCTCTAAACTGGTCCCAAAGCAAAGCACCTGGGGCTCCAACATTGCACAAAAGGACGAAGAAAGATCGGAGCGCCGGCCCAGTCATGAACTGGGAAGCCTCATCTAAGCAGTCTCTGTGTTCCCTCTCATTGTCCACGAGCCCAAGCTCCTTTGCAGCCTCTTGAAAAGTTCGACAATGGGGCCCTCCCCTGAATTTTAGATCATCGAAACCACGGCAGGGCATTGTTGCAAGTAGCACCCGTAGATAATACAGCTCCCCCTTGTTTGGTGTAACCCAGAACAATCTTGTTACCTTTTCTTTTATCTGCCTGCGAGTTATGAAATGTTTTCCATCCCCATGATCGTATACTTGTACTTTTGATGCGGCCGGGCGCTTTGTGTGGACGATAAAATTTTCGTAGAATGACTGATAGGTAAGGTCATCAAAAACAGGGTCTGCCGGTCTTTGCATATAGAGCAACAGTTTGCTCGTAGATGCATTGACTGCCTCGGCCTCATTGCCTGGTCGAAACATGACGGATTGCTCACCTTCTAAATGCACGGGAAGCATTTCCACTGTTGGTTCACACACGGTGAGGTCAAAATCCAAAAAGCGCCAACAGGCATCGCTTGCTCCTATCATCCTGCGTGTTGCATATTCCTCTGGTTCGTCCTGCTGTTCATGAAGCGGCAGGACTCTCACATTTTGAAGCGAAGAGCCTTTTGCCAGGTACTTGAACAGATACTTTATGACCTTGCGACTGCTTGAAATTTCCAGGTTTATGTGAGCTTGGTATCTTAATAAGAGGTACGGGTTGTATGGGACAACCCAACCATCGTGTACAAGTATTTCCCTGTTCCTGACTTTCATTGGTACCTTGTTATTGTAATTTCTGCGGTAGTGAACAAACCCTTTCTCATCAATGTGAGTTGTTTCAGTTTCTGATTTTGGAAAGAACTTCGAACACTGAGATTTCTGGCTGTCCCAACATGGAAAATCGGTACGATAGTTAGTGCCACATGGTCCATGAATCATATGCCGAAGCACCAACTCACGCAAACGTCCACCAGCTTCCTCTGGCCCAGGAACGTCTGCTCTTATAACTCTGTCGATATCAGCTGATTGGATCGGACCCCCATCCTCCACCTTTATTGCAATGTGAGCATGAGGAAGACCTCTCATTTGAGTCTCAATTACATAAACGACGTAGGCGACTGGACCAAAGAGGGCACCGCTTCTTATGTCCCTCAACAGATCTTGGAGTTTAATGTGAAAAATCCGGCAGCAGGTGGCTGGATCACACAGATTTCCGTGCCGCAAAGACTGTTTCAGCTCGTCCCACTGGCCGCAAGCTGTGAAGGTAAGAAAAAATGTTGGCTTTCCTTTGCGGGCTACCAACCCCATAGAGTTGTGGTACTGTGTCCGCATGTAACGTGGCGAGCCCGTAAAAGATGCTGGCAAATAAATTTTTCCTGCAGTCACTCCACCTTCCCCAGCGATTGTTTCATCAGCGGCTATGTCATTAGCCACCTGTCGAGGGTTCAGTTGCTGCTCCAACTCAGATAAAGGAGCTACCCTTGTTCCGCCCTGGTTTCCTCCTTGTCCCTTCTGACACCGTGTGACATATCGGAGACGCTCTTCCTCAAATCTTGCAAACATCTCAACCATCCATGACTGAGAGAGACGACCTAGCTCGAAAAATCGAGGTTGGGAGAGAATAAGACATCTCGTGTATCTGTACTGTGAAAGTTTCTGGCCCATGTTATCTAGTTTGTTTATGTGCCAGCCAAGGGTCCCGTGGGGGAAAAGCAACGGGTATTGAAGTGGCTCCAACAACGGGCTGAAAAGGTCAACGTAGGATGGAGCCCGATCTGCCCTTTTCCAAACAGTCAGCATGCGGGGCCCACCCGCAGCCGCTTCGTCTGTGTTAAGAATTGCATGCACCTCCATGCCCCTATTTCTGTCTCCTAAAGCTGGGCCGTGAGTTGACCGGTTGGTGAGTTCGAATTCAAGGCGCGCATTGAGAGATTGTTCTTGGCCAAGAAGGCGGAACTGTGGAATAAATGGATTGACTTCTTGAAGATATTCCTTCACACCAGTGATGATTGCAGGATTAAGCTTGCGGTTTTCAGTGAGAGCCAGGCGTTCCGCGCCATCATCCAGGTACAATCGGCAGTGGTTTATATATTGTTGGCTATTGCCATAACTGAACCTCTGTCCCGGCGCTTGTAGGCTAAAGATACGATGGTACATGCGACCCTCTATTTTAATGAAGGAGAGGCCACTAGGGTGCTTGTATCCACCACTGACACCCATAGCACAAAATGCAAACATATCATTGTATGCTCGAGCCCTTTCGAGGAACGAAGGCGCTGAATACAAGTCGTGATCCAAGGGAGGAAGATCAAGAACATTGTATCTCCCCGCCCCGCAACACCACTTTTCCTTCGTTTTTTCCTCTTCAAACAGCGAGGCCCCACAATGAACGCATCTGTAAATGTCGTTCGCAAACAAGTTGGGTTTCTTTAATTTGTGGGGCAAGATTTGGTCCAACTGAGCGCCAGTCCAGTATCCGAAGGGTCCATCCTTTCGCACTGCCCGGCGCATTTCCGGCGGAAGGTGCTTGATTTTGTCATTTTCTGGATGGGCAGCCCTGTAACGTCTGTCTATTTCTGCCCGTTCGTCGGGGTGGTTTCGTCGGTAATTGGCTTGGGCTGTTCTGTGCTGTTCAGGATGTAGTTGTTGATAAGTAGCCTTCGCTGCTCTGTGTTGTTCAGGGTTTCGTTGCTGGTAAGCAGTCTGAGAAGCTACGTGTTGTTCCAGGTTGGTCTGTTGGTGGCGTGCCTTTGCGTTTCGGTGTGGTTGTGGATTTGCCTGCGTACAAGTCTTGTTGGCCTGAAGTCTGCTTTCCCTATTTTTCTCATAATACAGTCGTGATTTCTCTCTCTGCTTTTCTTTGGCAGAAAGAACCGTCTGGCTCTGGGGACGGCCTTTATTTATCTTTCTAGGCCGTCCGCGACCCCTTTTTATCGGAACAGGAAGTGAGAGGGTCGATGAGTCAGAATCTTCATCGGACTGATTAGAAAGATCCCCATCCCCTGATCTTGCTAAGACTGATCTTTTTCGAGAACGAGGCAAATTGAATAAGTCTGTTTTGGAGGTGGAAGGGTTGTTGGAATGTTGATCATCGTTATTTTGAACAGGCGAAACAGGTATCTGAGTTCCATTGCTTGTGTTGGGTGTTTTGTTACAAACTTTCCCTGTTGCACGTTTTCTGATGAGCAATGGTACATCAGACTCACTGTCTGAGCTGCTGGCAGGTTGGCTAGAGGGGCACGTTCCGAAGAAACGTACCCGGGTAACCGTGAAAAAGTGTAGTGAATCATCATTAACAGGTGGATGGTTAAGTAAAAAGTCACTCAACGCAGCCACTGTTGTTAAGGAAAACAAACGAGCCACGCCGCAGTCATCGTCGCGCCCATGAGCGCTAACAGCCTGAGGGTCAAAGACCATGAACTGATCGCCATTTTCCCAAAAGGCTACTGTTCCTCTTGGCGCAGAAAACAAAAAGCCGCTTCCGGCTGGCGACTGCTGGAAAGCAGATGTTAGGTGTGTTTGCAGAAAAGCCACGGCATTTGGTTTCTGCTGTAAGCTTTGTGGGTAAACGTGGGCGAATATTGTCACATTGTCTACTAAATGAAGAGTCGCAAATCTGATCCGCAGGAGTTCGGGTAGATCGCATGGCATGACATGAAAGTCATGTTTGCGTATGCGACAAAACAAGCTGTCACCAGTATGAAGAATATCGTCTAAAGTTGAAGCTTCGAACCGTGTTTTCAAGTGCGCAAAGGCGAGGCCCACCGTTGATGTGACGACAGATTGGCGATTTAGTGAATGTTGAAAAAATAGTGGATCTCCTTGATGTAAAGAAGCAGAAGCACACAGACGATGCGCTGTATCCTCTTCATCCATATCAAGGCAAAAACTCAAAGTATCTCACCGCCAGCCGGCTAAACATTATAAGCCAAAGATGTTTGTAAAATAAGAAACGGGAGTTCAGCTGCGTTGAGGTACACAACAGAATTGGCATTGGTTGGCAGAAACGAAGATTCATTAGCTGCTTCAAAACTGAACGAAGGAATTCTCTCACAAGTCACACAGAATAGAAACAAGGCGATTAAACCAAAGAACCACCATACGCTCCTGCGCTTGCACAAAGAAGAAATTGTGAGCAAGGCAAAATAATTGATGGCTCACTGCAAAATGTAGAATCGCTGACTGCTGAGGGACAACTGCGTAAAAGCTTCGCTAAGTGCTTGGAAGGATCCACGTGATGCACCCGGAGGCTCGGCGGTGACTGACGAGACGGGGACGCTCGCGCTCGCTACGGCAAGCAAGTTTCCGGGCGCACAGCCCGGCAGCCAGCCAGCTAGCCGGACGCACAGCCAGGCAGCCAGCCAGCTAGCCGAGCGGACAAGCAGCAGAGTGGTGGGGCAAACAGGCGGACGGGCAGAGAGACTCCGGGACAGATAACAGGGTGGGGGCTAGGGCTATTTCGTTCGCCACACGCCGACGGGAGAGAAGGTGCGGGCGAGAGCGCCTGTCGGGGAGTGGTGGGGGGATCGGTTCGGGCTTCGGGTGCCGCCGGTTGTATTCGGCTAGGCGTGTTCGGGTCTCGGGCCCAGGCACAGGCCGCCGAAGCCCGAACCGATCCCCCCACCATTCCCCGACAGGCGCTCTCACCGGCGCCTGCGCTCCCGTCAGGGGCGAGGCAGGCGACGGGGCAATGTTGCCAGACGTACCACCTTCGCGGTACATGTACCACTATTTCGATCTCCGTACCACCGTACCACCACGAGCGATTCCGTACCACACTGCAAAAAATCAGTGTCAGATCCGGACCATGCTACGGCGTTCCGTATACCCCCTGAAATGGCCGTACCACTCCTCCCATAAGAGCCTGTGCTTTGTAAAGCGTGCTACGGAAATTTAACGGAAAATGTACCGCTAATTTTACACCGGAGGTTGCCGTTCCGGTTTTCCGTTTGTGAAATAGGCCAAAATGCTCTACGGACAGTGAGGAACGGACGCTCCGTAACGCAAAGTTCTCTGACGAAACGCATGAAACGGTCACTCCGTAGGGATACGGACTGGCCGTTACACGTTATCCGTTATAGAAATTTGAGTTACGGAGTGTCCGTTCCTCACTGTCCGTAGAGCATTCTGGACTATTTCACAAACGGAAAACCGAAACGGCAACCTCCGGTGTAAAATTAGCGGTACATTTTCCGTTAAATTTCCGTAGCACGCTTTACAAAGCACAGGCTCTTATGGAAGGAGTAGTACGCCGGATGTCCGTATCACCATTTCAGGGGGTATACGGAACGCCGTAGCATGATCCGTATCAGACACTGATTTTTGGCAGTGCACATTTTCCGGGAAAACATCGGATTATGTCAGCACGCAGGCAAATGGAACTTTTCGGGCGCCTGGGTCGGGTTGTCGTTCCCCAGATGTCGAGCATGTAATCCTTTGCCTGCGTTCGTGACCTATTCCAAGAAAGGGGGCTCTGGTCGGACAGGTCGGACAGTGGGGAAGCGGGGAACACGGCCGCGACGGGAGTGAGGCGATTATACTGTGAAATTGAAGTGAGGGGGACTGGAATTTTCAGTCATTACACTTGGAAGTGCAAAGTTTGCAGTCTCCACACTTCAAATTTTGAGTTGTCCACGAGAAAACCATGCGAAGAGAAAGGGGCTCCGTGAGCTACTCCACACTTAAAGTGTAGAGACTGCAAACTCTGCACTTTCGCACTGTAGCCACAGTACCAACTGGGTACGTCAGAGCAGAGTGGGGCCGAAAGTTGAGATGAAATCAAGAAGAAAGGCCGAACAGATGAATTCCTACAAAGAACCGCTCTTTGAAATACAAAGAGAACGGCGGCTTCGCAGCCAGCGTAGGACACTGTGGCACGAAGGTACGGAAAATTTTGTTAACAGCTTGTGGAAATTCTCCGTAGACCCCTTGTCAATATTCCCTGTAGGCTCTTACAGTATTTTCCGTAAGACCGCACAGTATTCTCCGTAGGACTATACAGTCTTCCAGGTCCTACGAAGAAGACTGTGTGGCCCTACGGAGAATACTGCAAGAGCCTACGGAGAATCCTGGCAAAAAAATTAACAGAATTTTCCGTACCTTTTTGCCACAGTGGAAATCGTTTGTAATGCGAACGAATTTCTTCGTAATACAAAGGAAACATCCTTCGCAGGCTGCGAAGAAGTTCTTCGTAGGCTACGAAGAATTTTTCCTTTGTATAACAAAGAAGATAGTTCTTACTACAAACGATTTCCTTCGCAGGCTGCGAAGCCGCCGTTCTCTTTGCATTTCAAGGAGCGGTTCTTTGTAGAGTTTTCAGTGTGTATTCCCACTTTTAGACCTCAACTTACTGCGTTCGTGTGGGTGATGCTGTAGCCGAGATATTGTAGGAAGAGTGTTAAAAGGATTGAAACAGCGTTGGCGGAAAAAAATATTTCGCTGGATTTACTCCGATACCTTGAGAAAACAAATGCACCGGAAGTCGGGTCGCGTCGGCCAATCAGACGCTGCCTCAGTGGCAGCGCCTACCCTTCATGAAAAGAGGCTTCTGATTGGACGATGCGACCCGACTTCCGGTGCATTTGTTTTCTCGAGGGATGAAAGTAGCGAGATAGTCTTTTAAAAGATATCGCACATGCGAAAGCGCCGGGATACGAATACACACACTCTACATAGAACTGCTCTTTGTAATACGAAGAGAACGGCGGCTTCGCAGCCTGCGAAGGAAATCGTTTGTAGTAAGCTTTGCTATACAAAGGAAAAATTCTTCGTAGCCTACGAAGAACTTCTTCGCAGCCTGCGAAGGATTTTCCCTTTGTAATGCGAACGAATTTATTCGTAATACTAACGATTTCCTTCGCAGGCTGCGAAGCCGCCGTTTTCTTCGTATTACAAGGAGAAGTTTTATGTAGGAATATCAGTGCAAAAACAACGGTCGAAAGAGCCGCGGAGAAAATACTTTGTTGGTCCTGCCTCTTTCGACGGCGAGTTTTCGCCGGACAAAAGCTGTTCTCGTGTTGGTGATTGAAGAATTCGTTCCAGTCATGAAAATTCCGTCAAAAGAGCAGAAAGATCGTTGAACGAAGGCATCCGATCGTCGTCTCAGGTTCGTTACGTACGACTAAAATACAAGTATCTTACTGTTGCGCTCCAACGAGAGCTTCGTTGCGATAGCGAACATTAGTGCTCTTCTCACAAAATTTTCACTACCCACGCTACAA